AAAAAAATACAAAGGAATATTAGAATATTGGAAAATGATGTCGCCTCGATGTGTTTCGAAGGAAAAAAAGTTTTTTTCCTCACACTTACGCGTACAAACAATACAGAATGATCGCATTAGCCATATTAGAAATACATTTGGTAAATAACAAGCTAAACCACATCCGGGGATAAATCGTGGTCAAAGGAGGTGCTTGACGTGCAGAAAGGAAAGATAACGTGATAACGAGGAAGTTGTGAAGGAGAGTTTCGAAGCTAGAAATGGCAAAATCAATTTGAGCTCATGAAAGTTTCTTGAAAATGCATTGGGATTATGCAAATTAGGGGAATGAGGAGGTAGAAATAGCCTTTCATTGGCTAACGATGTCTCAAACATATGTCTTTTTCCTCTTCCTGTTGCAAAAACATTATTTGTATGAGAAACTAAGAAGAATTATATTAAAGAAAACAACTGAAAACTTTAATGAATTAAAGAATGTTTTCATTCATCTTCAATGGCAAAGAAAACTAAAAATGTCAAAAGAAAAGCCTTTGAGGCTTCATCATCATCATGGACGAAATGCAATTTTAAAAAATCTTCGACCGAAGCAACAGATTGAGTTGTCGATTGAAGACATTTTCGTTTTGACATTTCCGTTCGCTTCATTCGATAAAAATTAAAAAAGGAAGTAGCTTACCGTTGACCGAATTTTCGTTCAGCTTGAAGTCCTAGTCCCTTTAGAGCATCCATAGCTTAAAAGATGAAATGTATATAAAAAGGAAGAAAGAAAAAAACGGAAACAAAACAAGAGAGAACCGTAAAATTTCTATTTTGTGACTTTGAAAGAGAGGAGGAAAGGGGGGGGGGGAGTTGAGGATAAGTTAAAAGAAAAGAAGCTGATGTTTCAAGCTGAATCAACAAAACAGCGGAAAAGCAACCGGTCAACATACAAACATAATGTCAAAGTAAGAGAGCTTCACGTGAGTTCACGTGATGTTTATTCTAATCACGCCACTAACTGGAGTGGAAAAAAGAAAAAAAAACAAAACACACGGCTAAAATTAGACAGAAAGGAAAAAAAAACAAAGATGACCTTAGTGGAATAACAATGAATGCTCTTCCTTAATGTTGACGAGTGTGACTTTCCCACATGAGGCTTTGAACAAGAAAAAAAAATTTTATTTTTATAAACCTTTTTATGCAAATTTGAAGGAAATTTATTCGTTGGAAAATAAAAGTTGTTAATTAAGAATCAAAAGATTATATTTAGTAAATCAAACATCGAAGACGATCTATATGAACTTCTATGATATTCCTTGTGCAAATATATTTTTTAATTTCAACCCAATTCTTAATAAATTTCTTTCTCAATATTGAAATCGCATCACGTCTTCTTCCTCTTCATTTGGAGATTTGATTTGGAGCTCTAATGATCTTTTACCCATTAACTTCTTCTGATTAAGCCAATTTCTCATCTACATCCTCCCACCCTCACTGCTATCCAAAGGAAACTTTTAAACTTTCCCGCCCTCTCTCTTCACCCACGTCAAATTTCACGCTTAAATTCATTTTTTCCTTTCAATCCCGCACACATCGGTTGCTCTTACACCTCTCATCTTTTGTCTTTTAAGCTTAAAGCCTAAACTTTTATTCCAATTTTCAACAAAAATGCCTCAAATTTCCTAAGCTGTTGAGGGCAACAAACGTTTTTCCGATAAAAATTACATTTGAAAGAAAAGGAAAAACTATTTTCAAACAAACACAGAACTGATTAGCAACGATCAAACTACTAAAAATGAAATTTGAAAAATTGATGAATCAATGAGCAAAAGAAATAAAAAATTTATTCCAAAATAAATAAATTGGCAAGTTCTAAAGAAGGAGACGTCAAATCTTAAAATGAATTTGACTAACAGAGAGCTGAGAAAGGAGAGTAAAAGCAAAAAAAACACGAAAAGAAAGCTGACGAAGAAGACAAAATGCAAAAAATACAAGAAAAGTTTATTTGTGTTTCATGATGGAGGAGAATATGGAAACGAGATACTAGAAGAATGAGATGAGAAAATTATAGTTCAACCAGCTTCCACTTCATGGATTTTTGGTCAACTTTTGCCTGTGGCAATATGAACTCCTTAGCACATACAAACGGAATTCAAATGAAAAAGAAATGAACTGATATTAGGGGAGCTCTTCTAATCAGCCTAGTTTCAGCATCAAAGCACATTGTACTTTAGAAGATTCAAGCTTCTGACTGAGGTAAATTTAATAACAGAGTTGAAGCTCGTCAAGACAAAGCCACGTGTGGAGAAACGCTACTAGCGGCATCTAGCTAATGGACTAAACTTCCCCAGCTACTCTACTCTCTCCCTCTTCTTGTCTTTAAACAATTCTCTTTTAACTGAACTCTCTCTCTCTCCCTCTATCTCCTCCTCTCTTTCTTTCTCCCTTTGTTTCTCCTCTCCTTCTCTCATTCTTTCCCTTTGAAAACTTTGTATTTGAGATGTCATAAGCGCCAAACTGAATTCGTTTAAAGATTCAGAGCTGATTCTCAACCATTTCAAAGTTTGGCATGAGAAGTCCAAAAAAGGATGAAATAACTCCCAAAATCTTTTACGATGAGCGTTAAAAAATTTCAAAGAAATGTTTAAAACAAAATTATTTGTTGTGAGATGTCAAAAATGGAAATTCGATGACGGCTTCTGAGCAAAGAGAAGTTCAAATTGCCAACAAGAATGAAAAGTTTTGGAAAACCAATTGATCTGTATATCCGTTTTTAATTCCTTGTGGAAAAATAAGAAAATTCGCTTGAAGAACAGAATCATTTCATCCATAAAAAGCCTTAAATTGACATTTATGCAAAGTACAATTTCTCCTTATAAGGGAAGAGAGAGAGTGAGAGATAGAAAGGGATACAAAGAGAGAGAAAAAGAAAATGAAGGCAAAAGCCAAACTTAATGATTTTTGAACCAAGAAATAGACAATGATACGATTTTCATTTAAAAAAAAAAGAAGAAAAAGCAGCTCTCTCTCCCCCTCACAACACACCTGCAATGGGAAGGAAAATCAAAAATTCTTCAAAATTTTTTATTATTTTTGAGCGAATTGTCATATGAAGCGCTGAAATGCTGACAAGAATAGCGGAAAAGAGTTTTCGAAAAAATTGAAAAATAAAAAAAAAGAAGAATCCGTTAAAAGGAATAAGGAAGAGAGCAGTAAAGATATTAGCTCAGAAAAGGGTATTCAATTAAGAAAATGGCCGAAATGAAAAGATAACAACGGGGAGGAAAAGGTTTTTCCCAAAGAAAATGGAGGTCAGAGTTTGGTTTTCATGTAAAATAAATAAAAGATAGCTTAGTTGATAATGAAGGAGATTTAAGCTGATAGCGCAATTCTGCTTCCTGGAGAATAAAAAACAAATGGTAAAGGCTTTGTCGCAGATGCCTGGGGCGGAAGAAAGGGCACGATGAAGCTCCAGAGAGAAGTACAGGGAGTTTTAGATTTTTTGAGCGAAAATGGGAAGAAATTAGCGAAGAAATCCATTTCTGCTCATGAAAATAGAGAAGATGAGAGTTGTGAAAGAATTAATTTGGAATGAAATATACTTCGTCTGTTGAGATAGATTGTATTTAGAGAAAGATGACAAGGATAGAGAAAGAAGCTTGAGAAAGCTATTATTGCCATGGCAAATAGGAAAAAAAAGTTTTCCGAATTATTAATCTCATCAGAAAAATATATCTGACGATCAATGGTGATTGGATTTACAAGTTGGAAGGAGAAAAAAAGAAATTCTTTGCCATCTGATACCCGTCTAGAGAATTGAGGACGAAGAAGGGAAGCAAAGGGGAAGATTAGTGGGAGGGTAGAGAGAGAAGTAGTGAGATATGATCAATAAATATTTTCATACCCAGCTTTTCGAAACATTGGAAAGTTTGTTCCTTTTATAGATTGAAAGATTTTTTATTCAGCTTTAGGTCAATTTAATGCGAAGAAAGACCCGGATGGCTGGCTGTGAATAGAATTTCTCGCCGTTCCTCTGCGATCTCTTCAGTTTCGTTTTTTACACGACTGAATCGAAAAATACTTAGAAAATTAAAAATAAAAGGAAAAAGAAAGAAAACGAGTAAATGGATGCAACCACTCATTACGCGTTATTGGCCAGAAATGAAATCTTTGCAGTTTGGTTGTTAATATGCAAATGAGTAAATTAGCATAAATGGTTCGAAATATGGAACACAAGAGAGAGAGAGGGGCAAAGAGAGTTAGGCCAAATGTGTTTTTCAGAACTTCTTTTGTGCACAACTGTTTAAGAGAAAAGCTGAAGCAATAACGAAGAGAAAGCTGAAAGGAATATACTTATGAGCTTTAAAATGAGCTTGTACAGAACGAAAAGCTCATTTCAGAAGCCATACTCAAATCAAAAAAAAATATTTTATATATTCTATCTAGTGGAGATATGCATAAATAATCTCAAATTACAATGTCAATTTGATACATTTTATGGATTTGTTGTTTGAGATTCACGTAAATCAATCGCCGCATTTTATCAAAGAACATCACAAATTGAATTTTTCAAATTAAAAAAAGGAAAAAAAAACTTCAATTGCTGCATGTCATGGACAAACAAGGAGTAAAGAAGAGAAAAGATTCTCTTTCGAATATTTTGCTGGTTTTCATCTTCAAAATTCCAACTAACAATGGTTTGTTTAGCCTTGAATGTAATCTGATTTATAAAACAGTTTTTCTCATAAAAAATATATAACTTTAGATGTGGTTCTGATGTTTATTTGAAATATTAAATAAACTTTCACTCGCACATTTCAACTGTCAGACCATATGGCTGTTAAATATTTTCATTAATTTATTTAAATTTGCTTCTCATCCTTCTTCTCTTACTCCTCCTCCTCATCCTCTTTCTCCTTTTCCTTCACCTCCTCTTTATTTGTCTGCATCGTCAATTCTATATCACCGATTGGTGGAATTCTGAAATAATTTTGGTGATGTTGATTGAAAATGAATTATATTTACAACTTCTTGCTGAGCACATGGGATTGCTGATTATCTGATGGAGTGGTGTTCTCGGAATCTACTGTTGTCTTGTTAACTTTCTCATTATACTCTGGTGTTGTTGAAACCAGATTTTCCATATTCGTCTGAAGACGTTGGGTAGAAGTCGAATATCCCGATGATGTTGTGACTTCAGGTCTAGCCGTTGTACAATCCACAACAACAAAAATCCATGATTTATTAGTTCTGCGAAGGCATTTTTTGGCGTTCTCTTGCGACTGCCTGTATAATTTGGCTAATTTCTTCATTGCTGCCTCATATTTTGTGTAATCGAAAAAAAGAAAAATATGAATTGAATAGATTTGTTATAGAAAATTACCTGGCTTAACAAAGCTTTTTGCTCTTAAAAGCTCCAATCGAGAGTCGTCATTGAAAGGCATGAAATCCTAAAAAAGCATTGAAATAGACGTAGATTGTTCCAGAGAACTTTACCATTTGAACTTTGGAATTAATTGGAATAGCATTCATAAGGTGAAAAAGAAAGTAAAATCTAAGCAACATAATCATTTTTAAACTAAAAAAAGCTGGGAAAGAAAAGTTTTTATGGAAGAGCCTATGGACAGCTACTTAAACACGCAATTTATTTACTCATCTAAATAAGGAAAAACATACAAGATATAAAATAAATAAATAGTTAATTATTATACTCCGCCATATCTTTCCAGTAATTTCTGTCTTTGTTCTTCAGCCGATACTGCAGAGTATTTGGCTACCAAACGTTCTCCAAATGAGATGGATGATCTCATAAATGTCGGTTGGATATATCGTTGGTTAAATATAGACAGCCTTCTCCTCCACTTCAAATAACATGGGAATTTTTCATATTTTGTTTAAAAAACCCACGTAATGAGGTCCTTTCATTCCAATAATTGCTTCAACTCCGGCCATTAGATAATCTCCGCTCTAAATTCCCTTTTTTCATTCACATCATCATCTTCCGAAATTCTCACATGGGTAAAAACTTGTTGGGTAACTGTCACTTCTTCCGGAATCATTGTCTTCACTCCCAAAGCTTTTACCAATGGTTTAATTGTTGTACCCTGTATTAATTGATTACCGTATTCAAATTAGATGTACTTCGTACCTGGAAGAACACGGTAACAACAATAACAACTACCGTAGTTGACACCATCATATCCTTATAAGGAACTGAGTTACTATCTTAGATATATCATCCTGATTAACTTTATTATATTGTAATTGCGAACCTAGAGTCATGACAAGACCATAACAGATAGCTCCTCGTAGGCCTCCGTAACCGCTGATTATCTGGTCCATAACTCCGATTTTCTGAACTCTCTTCTTGTTTGCAAAATAAGTCAAAACCAGTACAACTATAATCAGTTTTTCAATATTGAGTTATAGAGAGAGTATGCAGTTTTACCAACAAAACGGCATATTATACACGAAGTGACGGTGACAATGGTGAATATGAGATCCCATTCATGCTGCTTGGAGAACGTGGATAATCCCAGAAAAACGAAAATCATCGCCTCACAGCTTTACTTTTAATTAAATTACTAAATTGAGTTTGGCAAATTACCAGGAAGATAAAGTTTTCAAGAAGTATTTGACAGTTGTTAGAGATTTTTCGTTTATGTTACCAGCCACATAGTTCTTCATCAATAAGCCACAAGTAACTATTCTGCAAACAAACAACATTTCTGCAGTTGAATACTTAATTCATCCTTTACGCAATTATTCCGGAGAGATGCACACTTTCAGAGATCAAATATGATAAATAAGGGAATACTAGGCATATCAATGGCTGAACTATGGGAATATCATGTGAAAATCTGAAATATTCAACATCTCATTATTCTAATTCACTTTTTTCATTCGTGTTATTTTGTTTTAGAGTGAGCGGTCGTTGTTTTACTCAGAAACTCACTTTGTTGCTATGGCTGTTATACAAACCCATGCCAATCCAATTACAACTCCGCCTGTGGAAACCATAATGAAAGAGAGGAAGGCATGAAGAAAGTCTTCTCGAATCAAATGCTCCGCTCCAATTTTGGCCATGGAGCTGAGTGATTGGTAAAGAACCTACAAATTCAACAAGTTCTTTCATCCATCTCGTATAACTTCGTTCTCACAATGACAATGGCATCGTTCAAGAGAGATTCTCCAAAAACACAGATGTAAAGCAGTTGATTTACATGAATTTCTTCAAAAACCGAAAGGACGGCGACAGGGTCGACAGCTTGAATAATAAAAGGAAATGTTAAGAATGAGAAGTAAATAGGTTACCTGATATGAGTGTTGCATACAATAGAATATCGAGAGTTTGAATTTCGTGAATGTAAAAGCTTTGAAAGCAATAAATAGCAAAAGCTAAGACGGGAAAATAGATATTGAAATGTATCAAAATAGAACTTTACCTATGCAAGCGATGTTAAGCAAAGTTCCAAGAACAGCATATAGCAAAATAGTTCCGAAATTGGCGAAGAAAGCTTTGTTCGGTAAGAAATAGCCGGCATCTAATGCAATTGGGGGGAGGAGATAGAGAAAAAACAAATCTGAAAAAGTAAGGATGAGACGGCAGTTAAAGGGAAAAGAGCCACCGGGATGTAGGTAGATATCCAAAACCCAAATTTGGTCGAGAATGAAACCAGCAACTAATCCTAGCACGATTAGCAGGGCACTTTCAGGAAAGAGAGTTGATAAGAATTTCGTCCGATGAAAAGCTATAAATTTCCGTAGAGTTTTGAAAAAAAAAGAAATTGATGTCGCTTGAATGACAAACGATTTGTAGATGTGATAGAACAAGTTCTTTTTCTTTAAAAGGACATAAACTGTGACTTTGGAGAAAAACACTATCGAAAGATTCTTACTTATTCGAGCTATGATGATAAACATAAGCCATCCAGCTATCAGAAGTGGCGTATAAACATCAGACCAGATGAGCTTTGAAAACATCTTTTCTTCAACTGATCCTCATACGAACTCTAAATTCACTTCAGTTTGTAATGGAAATATCATTAACCGATCAAAGCGTTATCATCTTCTTAAGTTAAGTATCTTTTGATCGAAAGGTTAATTAGGACAGATACATGTAAGAGAAGAAATCGAAAAGTGAAGGAGAAAGAACTATTTGTATAATTAACTGTATAGTTATGTGAAATAACGAAGATCATTAACTTCAAATACAACAGAGTGAACAACGACGAAGACGTTGATGATATACGTCGTGTGATAGAATCGCTCATCATCTGCATGTGAGACATCTATCATCATGACCCAACCTTTTTCCATCCAACTTTGATGATTGATAATCATTTTACAGATATTATTATATTTTATTTAACATTTTCTGAAATCATTGTTTGTTTGATCATTTTTGAAGAGAATAAGCTTCTACTTCAAGAGCTTCGTCATCTTCTTCTGACCACACTCCATTTTCTATCTTTCTCAATCAATATCTCTACCTCTTTTCTCTCTTTGTCTCTCTTTTCTCCTTTTCTCTCTCAGCCTCCCTCTCTCTTTTATCATTTCTCATTTGTCATATGTATTGACTAAATGAAACAGAAGCAATCATTCATTTACTGTTCATCACGATTATTGCTCACATGGCTTGTGATCTCAGCTGCTTCTTGGTTAATTCATTTTTTATTGTTATCTTCTACTTTCGTTTTCAGTCTACTTTACGGTTTGATCATATTCGTATCACTTTTGAACAAAAATGTTTTACCGTTGGATGATGGACCATTAGTTATTCCGTATATAAATCTACCAAGCAAGTACGATGCATATCTACAATTTGACATGGAATATGACAATTCCAACATGGTTTTCAATCATTTCCAAATCTATGTGCTCAAAAATCTTTTTAAGACTTACTCGGGTATTATTTATATGACATTTACGGCTAAACAAGGAGGCGAAAGAGTTTACGTCCATAAATCTGATTCAATGCAATTAACCAGTTACGAGCTGACTATTTATAACAAGAAGATTAATTTAAGACGAGGCATTTATAATAAGCAGGTGGGTGTTTCAAGCACTTCCCTCTTTCAACTTATAAGCTTATAGACTGAAATACAGACATTCATACCATCTGTCAACCTAACTTCAGATGCAGAATACATTCTGAAACTTGCTTTTCAAAACAAAATTGGATCAAATGACTTTGGTCCCAGAGAGAATTCTTACAAGTCTTTGAATGACAAAAGGTCTCATGAATATTCTCGAAATATTTGCAAACCTTCATTCAGGTATGGTATGAGCTTCATAACTAAACGGAATGCTCAAAAAGGCCTTCGATACCTATTCCCCGCTTTGGACAGCAAAGAATATCCAGCACTATTCAATTTATTCATTAAGAGGAAGCCATCATTAAGATGTTTCTCTAATCATAAAATATCAAAAACAGAGCCAATGTGAGATATTTCACGTTTTTCACGTAACATTCATTCTGCTGATTTCTCATTCATGAACGGTTGCATTAATTTTGATCTTCATAGGCTGCCGTGGATGGAGGACTCTATTCCAGCAAGAACAAGGCTCTACCCTCATCAGCTTGGTTTAGTGTTGACGGATTTTCCCTCCAAAAATGAGCTATTAGAAAATATTACAGTAAGCTAATTACCTTACAATATCGGTGGGGATTTATCTCATTATCGTTAAGGTTACAGTTTATTTCCGACCGGATATGATGAATGGTATATCCATTCGTCGACTAGAGCAGTTCATGGATAAATCATCCAGGCAGATAGGAAAAATAGGTTTTTAAATATTAAGTAAAAGGAAGAAGCAATAAAACTTTTTCTTTAGATGCAGTGGTGATTGGTCAGGTTGACACAGTGCATCAACCAGGAATATCGATAATGAACGAAGAAGAAACAGTGTTGGAGAACAGAGAGCTCTCTCCTGAGCTTTCTAACACCGTTGATCGCCTTCCAGTACAAAAACGATGAGTAAAACAGGAGTTTATGTTCTCATCACAGCAATAAAACCCTTTGGGGCTGATAATTATTTTCACTTCACTGTGGAAGATATGCATTTAGCGAGAGAATAGAATGAAAGTTCTCATTGAGATTCTACATGTTGATGTTCTAGCAGTTCTTCCATCTACGGCGCTGAACAATAACCACTAAATTCTGCTTCTTACACAAGTCTTCCATACCTTTCTTAGCAGAGAGCTGATGCACTATTGCTCTGGAGAGTTTTCCTATTCCTTCGAATAACGGGGGTGGGTGAGGAGTATAAGGAAACATTCAGTTCTCATTTGGGGATTGGGTGAGGGTCTTTTTTCTTTTCTGTCTCATCAATACAACGTACAACCATCAATTAGTTCATTTGAAACTTGAAGACATTCTCATTTTTTATTGCTATCTCGTAGCTTGAAAATGAACAGGGAAGAATAAAAAGTATTGAGTAATTGGAAAGTTCAATACTACTAAGAGTGAAACTCAATTATCCGCTTCATCTCATATCAACCAGGAAGTATTCAGGTTATATAATTCCAGTAATCAAGTCATACGTATTTTAATATTGGTCTTGGTTGTCATGGGAATAGCCTGATACTTTTTTAAATATAAGTTAAAGGTAATGTGTTGATCAGAACATCTTTCAATTGGCAGCACTCAAAGAGTTTTCCATTGCTCTTGTTTGAATACAATCATGTTTTCAAAAACTGTATCTGAACAACTTGGCAAAACAAAGCAAACTGTTGCATTTGATATAGTGAGCGATATGGTCAGTTAGAACGGTATTGTTCTCAATTTGTGTTTGTTAAGAATGATCAACTGAGTTCGGAAACAAGTGATTTTGAGAAAGAATAGATTTGAATGTCTGATGAGAGAGGAGATTCTCGAGACTACTCAGAGATCGGCTCAGGAATATTGGTTAATGCCAAGGCTTAGGAATAAGTTAAAGAATAGATCCAAACAGAAAACGTTTATTCTTTAATTACTTTTTGATTGGACAAAACTTCTCCAAGGAAGTACAAATCAGGTTTGAAGGATTTATGTATAAGGTAATAAAAGAAGTAAAACGCTTGATATGGATATAGGTAAAGTAAGAAATGATGGAAGGAAAGAAGACAGAACTGTTTAATCATACAGAAGTTCTTGTTTTTCAGTTTTTCTTTTTCTTTTATCATATATAAACAAATGAAATGTCATAGTCTGCTTACTCTATTGATTGAGCTTCGTAATGATTTTCTTGTTATTAATACTCTTGCATATCTTTAAAAGGTAATTCCGTTTTAAAATTCGTACTTTGCATGCATCTTTAAGTGTTTTCTGTCAAAGTCCTGCTTTCCACTTCCTTGAAAATCAGATAACTCCAGATGTTCTATCCGAGTCTCACGAGGATATGCAAGAAATTGAAATTACGTATGAAAACGATTTGAAGGTTCCCTATTGGAATATTCTTCTGATTAGTTTTTCTTATCCAGGTTAACATGGGCAATGAGTTAAAACCTGTTCAAGTTCATAATAAACCGAGCAATATATCCTGGGAAGCAGATCCAGGTGTACTCTATACGTTGATCATGACAGGTCTGTTATTCATTATTCATAGCTGGAAGCGTAAATGTCATAGATCCTGATGCACCGTCTCGCTCTAACCCTAAGTTTCGAGAGTTCAAGCATTGGCTTGTTGTCAATATTATAGGAAATGATTTGTCAACAGGAAGTTCGTTAACTGACTACTTGGGATCGGCACCGCCAGAAGAAACAGGTTGTTACTTTTCTCAATTATCTATCAACATTATCAATTAAGGACTTCATCGATATATATTTTTAATATTCAAGCAAAATGTAAGAATTGAAGTTGCAACAAGAAATACTAGTTGCTCTGAAGGACGCGCTAAGTTCAACACTGAAAAATATGTGAAAACCAATCATTTGATTGGACCAGTAGCTGGGAACTTCTTCCAGGTTAGTCAGTAAGATAAAACGTGTTGACGATTATGCTGCAGGCTCAATACGACAAGGTTTTGGGAAATCCACAGAAGTCCTCAAGCCAATGTTGATGGTAAGGTCGAAATTCGTACAGGTCTTCTCAGAAACTTTCGTAACTGTAAAATAAAATGGTTCTGTATTTTGTGTTTCACTGAAACCTCAGAGTCAAAACTGAACATTACAAGAGATGTGCTCATTGAATTGAGACAAAGAAAGAAATTGGGAGCAAGAGTACCGATGCCTTCAAACAGGCCGAAGAAATTCCAAACACGGAAAGTAATATATCCCAGAAAGTGAAAAAGAGTTAATATCAGAAAATGTATAGCAAATCTGAGAAACATAAATCAGATTATAAGCTTGTATTTGCGGTCACCTGATATCGTTGCTCTTCTCTTTTCTGATGCTGGTCCTCTTCCTTCTCACAAAAATGAAAATCTGTAGGAGTTATGGTATAAGATGTGAAGGGCTTAAGCAAACCGATAAATAGCAAAAACAAGTTGAGGTGGTACAAATGATATTTAAAGGTAACATCATAAAATATTGCACATAATTGGTTGAGCCGATAACATTCTCATACGTTTGAGATATCAAGTTTGAATCCAATATAACTCTGGAACAAATATGATCACACAGTCTTCCATGAACTCCTCACGCGCAACAGGGGATAACATAGTTCATGAGTATTGTTAATATGAAGCCGAACAGTATAGAGCAGAGGATGATTATTAAAGTAAATTTGAGATGTTTGTTCGGAAAGGACCATACAACAACCAGATACCTTAAGCATAAAACAATATTATGAGTTCCATAGCTCGTACCTATTTATGGCCATATACACTATGCAACAACAAATGCAGATATAAGAAAATACTAGAAGGCAGTTAGCGAATTCTGTGATGAGAGGATGGAAGATGTCACTCCGCTGGAAGCATTGTAAATTTAATAACCATTCCGTTTAGTTACCTTGAAATAAGAAGTCGGAATCAAATAGAAGAGTATAGTTGCAATAAGAAGAGCATCAATCGCCAAATGCCAGGATAGCATAGCGTACAACCCAGATCTTCATTATGATTTTAGAAAATGTGAAGCGAAAAACTTTACCGTTTCATCATAGTCAAACGGACAGCGCAATAGAAGCAAGTGCAAACAATAAATAGAAAAAGTAAAAGAATGAGACCATAGATAACACAAATTAATTCACGGTGTTGCAACATGAAGGAAGAGGTTTGTGAATATCTTCAGAGAACTTCTTCCAGGAACAGGTAATAGGAGCTGGAGCAGCTCAGATTGGCACAGGGATATCTTATTATTTAAACAAGATTAAGCATTTTTGCAAAAAATTGTTGACAGAGAGAGTTTCACAGCCAGCTTATCGACGAGAACTGAACGCGTAATTAGAATAAATTCAAAACAACTCGGTGGCAGCGGAAACACGTGCGTCCATTTTCAAAAAGCAGCCAACGCAATCGGTTGTTCCAATAGCACTCTCAATTATTCGACACGTAAAGTATAATCAGGTAATTTGCTTTCACTTTGGGCTATGTTTTTCTGTTTCTACTCCATATACTTCACAAACGTCTATAATTCATTATTAATTCAATTTGAAATCCAAATCTTTATTAACATTAATATCGTACTGTGTTCTTATATCAACAGTTTTCATTGCATTGGTTCAACATCGTGTGTGGGTGGGAAAGAAGAAAACGCGCTCTACTGCTAATACTATACCGCTGTGCGCTCTAGCCGCTCTCTAGCTGTTTTGTATGAGCAAACTGAATATTCTTAATATCAATTAACTTGTTTTCCCTTTTTCATATTCTTACTTAAGCATTCTATTTTTGAAACCTAACTATTAAACTACTATGACATGTAGTGTTTAAGGGAATAACTCGAATCGTTTTTTTATTCTCTTCAAATATCACATAGAGTAGTGTAAGTTGTGAGCATATGCTTATTTGTTACTAGCAAAGAGCAAACGGAATATTCGCGTCACATATTTTGTGTTTCATGCTGAATGTATGACTCACTTTCGCGAAAGGGTGTAACTTTATAAGCATCGAAGATCGTATGGTTCCAGCTATCATTGTATGTTCATCGTATATTCTTGAATTCGTAAAAAATAATATTGAGTATTTATCAGGATAATCTACAGATTGTTGTTATACTGTGTATTGTAATTATTCTCGACATGTAGGCTATAGAAGAGGCAACGCGATCGATCCCTTATATCGGAAGAGGGCGTTGGGGGTCACTTAATGCGGCAAGACGCGGCCTGTTCTTCTCTTACAACCCTTATTAGCAGCCAGTCCTCTTTGAACCTTTCATTATGATGTAGAAATTTATAATTTACTTTTGATTATCCTGAGATGAATTCATCAATGTTGTTGCGTTGTACAACATTGCAACTACTTTCATCGATTTTTGTGTCTGATTCATCACTGTTCAAGATGATCCCAAGTTTTCTCCGTGACGAATTTTATATCGCTGCTCTGTCGCTGAGATTTCTACGAAAATGCCGCTACTTCTCAACCTTTTCATACAATGCTTCATTGCTTCTTTTTGTTGCCACTGAAATTAAAGATAGGTGTCTACTGTTTCTTGCTGCGTCCATTGTTCATGCTCAGCTATGCAAGTTCCGAATTCTTCGGTTCATGAATATGTCAAAGTAGTTTTGAGGTTCTGCTCTTTACGACTGATGAATTTTTCTTGTTATTATGTTTCATTCAATTTAGACACGAGTTCGCATCTTCTATTTGAACATCTGGTGCTTTCAACACTCACTCACACTTTGTAATTTTGCAAATTCTCCTTAAATTCTGTATGTTTCGTGCACTTTTCTCTTCCGATCAACTAGCTGCCAATGCAAATCTCATTATATCCACAAGCTTTCATGCAATTATAGGCTCAACAAGCGTTTTCATCTCCTTTTTTTAGTTTTTGGTCTGTTGATAATAACTTGATCGGAAATGCATCAAACGAACAGTTTTGGTTTTGTATTGTTGAACCTGTGCCAACGTTTGGAAGACAGGAAAGCATGTGGCTGTATTCAACATCTGTTAGTTCTGCAGTATACGCTTAATCAAGCACTCTTACATCCTCGGCGGATAATTACTCATTTTTCTTTCTAAAACGATTTTTGCGTTTCTTTTCTAATAAGCCCAGCTTAAAAAATTATTGAATGACAAGACTCAAAGTTTGATGACTAACTAGTTTGATCATGAGCAATTAATGTCTTGTTAAGTATTTTCTTTGACATTGTCGAACAGAAGATCATCTGTGAAACAGGTGGTTAAGCAAGCCGTAAAGCGAGCTGCACCCTGAACGAATGAAATCGATCTTAGCGTGGAGACGAGAGGTTAACAACGCATTATTTTCTTCACTTGCTTACCTTTGCTTCAACGAATTTTTCTGGAAAGAATCCAGTAATGAAGTCACGTTTTTCCTTTTTTTTTCCGTGTTCGTATCCGTTGCTGTCAACCACCAAGAAGCCAATATAGTATATATTCTGGTTCTGGTTGCTTCTTTGTGTCCCGGCAATCACAATGCTACATTTAGACTTCTCACATCCCATACAAAGTGTTGCAAATGTTGTTCTTCGAGGTATAATCGATGTCCTTGGAAGATTTGTATGTTTTACTATAGTTAACATAATCGAATTCTCATTATATTGAATTTTTCTTCGTATACCGCGTTTCTTGTTTAAGTCCTTGGGTCGCCTTTTTTGCTCCTTGCACTGTGTGCTTTCCTTCTTATACTAGCGCTTTAACTCTCTGTCTGGAAAGTTTACTCTCGACTTTCCTATTCTCCTAAGGCTAGAACTTGTATTTTGCCAACACCTTTGTATACTATTTCAATTTAGATGTTTTCTCATCTCTGAGTTTTCTTTTCAATCTCATAAAGATATGAATATATATAAATATATATATATATATATATATATATATATATTTGTATGGGGAATATGTTGTTTTGCTATCGATTTTCTTGTTCGGGTCATATGTTTGGAGCGTGAGGCGTGTACGAGAACAGTCTGTTCATTTTGATTTCTTTAAATTTGTTCATCGAATATTTCTCCCAGTCGTCTGATTATATGAATGTACTCTGCAAATTGTCAACAATTATAAATAACAATTACGGAAATTACTGGTCATTTATGATTCACTTTTCACGCATCTCATTCCTCAAATTTTCGTTCATCTCCTGATTCATCTCTCCGGAATTCCAATATTTTTGTTTTCTCTTTCTCAGAATCGTGTGTATGAAATCTCTCATATTAAATCATACTGATATTAAAGATGTTCCTATTTAATATTCTCTTGAAGTCTTCATAATCTCGTTTTCTTTTTCTATGCTAATACAACTTGTTTTTCTAGTGTGATTCTGTTATGAGATATCCACGATGGCGCTGAATGGTTCTCCGAACGTTAGTTGGGCAGATTTATGGGTATGTGCTTTTTGGTACTTTTCATGTTACGTTTGTCATGCGCTACGTGTTGCATCTTCAATTATGCAAAATTACAATATGTTATTTTTCTGAAGCCTGTCACTGGCAGTTAGTATCATAGCTTAAAAGAGGAAGTGTCCCTGAAAATAATAGTTACTCAAACCAGTCCCAGCGTTTAATGCATATTATATAGCCCAACAATGAATAGAAATCGATCTTAATAACTGTATATCTTTAAACATTTCAAATATCTCCATAGTGTACAGATATTTGTCGCATGTTGTTACTAATTGGTAACATATTTTCTGTTCTGTAATCCTTGTTCCCTACAATGTGGAACATTTCGGAGAGCATTTGTTAACAAAGCGATATTAGGGTGTTAATTTTCAATAAGAAGATTGTAAAAATCTAACTTAAGACGAAAGAATCACAAAATGTGAGCAGAAAAGTCGAAGGACTATTGTGCTCGTGGTCAGGGCTACTTCGCTCTTCTCCTGTCCAGCTAACGAAGCAGAGCATCTGCTTCTTCGATCACTGCGCAAGCCTTTCCGATATTTCCTATTCTCTCTTAATATTCTGTTTTCTTTCTCCCTCTATCTATCTCTCCATCTCCTCTCCTCTTCTGTCCTTTGATGAATTTTCTGCGTCTCTGCTATGGTCACTATCTTTCCCGTTGCCATAACCCATTCAGTCACAATTCCACCCATACGCTGTCGTCATAGAACCTCCGCCCTCTACAGAGCCTGTCTTCGATTCTGTCTCCAAATTTTCCCAGTTGAACTCGATCATTTGTAACTTGATGCTTATTGCGTTCATCCATGGTGTTCCACAGTAGAGCTTCGAGAAAATCTCTTGATCGCAGCTTGAAATCTGACGATGTAGCAGTGTTAGAAAAATCATCCACCTTAAAAGCCTCAATGATAGACCTCTTTCATTCCTCATTCATGCCTTCGTCAGACGATGATTTCTCGAAAGTATTAACAGCCAATCAAAAGGTAACTTTTACTTTTCATTTTGTTTTCGTCTTGCTCTTCTTGGATTAATTCCTCGTTATTTTTCTGAGGTCATTGTTCTCACATTCTAGTCCGACGTTAGTAGAGATTTTTACCATTTAACTCCAGTCCAACCTGTCCTAATTAGTCATCGTGAACGTTTTTTTCTCATAACTCATTCTGAAGTCGGTTCTCTTCCAACAATCATAGTTTCTTTCGTAAAGAATCATGTGTTTCGTGTAGTATCTATGTAACTCAGTAGGGGATCTTAAGTCGATGTTTCGGATTGACACAATGACTTATGCACCAACATAAAGAGCGACAAAGAAAAGAAACTTTGATCAAAGCAGCTCCTTCGCTATTGCTTAGAGTGAAGCTTAATCCTCGAGAGACAACTCCTTATGCATACGGAGAATTCGAATGACATATTCAGTCATATTGGAATCGACCTATTATTGAATTTGCTATTCCGACTAATTACCCCTTAAGCTGACCGGATGTAGGCCTTTTCCATAGATGCAGCTCTAACGAAACACCAGAGCTTTGTGTTTTTGTTTGATTTTCCATCACAGATGGCTAGATTTGTGTCATCTGAATCCACTTCAGATATGTTGATCGTCTTATCCTCCAGATTTTTTTTGCTTCCAAGTTATACGACCTTTCTGTGAAATAGGCTAACGTGTAGGCTATTAACAAAAATCGTTTACGAACCGGAAACAGAAGGTCAAACTATTCTATCACTCATTGAGTAGTAAGGATTTCTGTGAGGATTATTCCTGACGACGAAATTCCGTACTTTCTATGCAAATTTAAATCGAAATTCATATTTACAGAACACTTTAACTCTTAAACTGTACTGTAAAATTTGTACTGAACGTTATTATAAATTGATAAGATTCTTAATTAGGGTTTATCTTTATACATAGATATAGGTTTCTTTCACATATCATACATATTGTTCCGTTTTGAGTGAGGACGGTGTGAATGGGTTGGTAAAGGGACTGGTCAAACAATGTTATCAATACATTCGCCTTGTCAATAGTATCCTCATATGGTGAAGAGCCCTTCTTCATCGACTCTTCTGTAAGACAGCCCCATAGAGAAAACCAACTATGTCCTACATTCAATCAATTTTACCACTGAACAAATTTTGTTGTCATATAGGGATTGAGAAAGTTTTATTCTCATTTTTGCAGGATAGAACAGATGCCGTTACTGGCCATACTCAGAAAGGAATCGAATTCCTTGAACGAATCGGTACCTTTGCCAAAGAGAGAGCTATAATAGAAGAAGAATATGCGACTAAACTGAGGTTTGTTGGTCTTCAAAACTCATTACTATTTTCTATTTCAGACAATTAGCAAAGAAGTCGCTAGGTAAGAAAAAGGAAGATGAGGAAAGCGTTAAAAGTTTCACTTATGTTCGTTCGTTTGCAAACATGCTGAAGGAAATTGAGTCGTTGGCTGGTCAACATGAGGTTCGATTAATCTACAGTTTAACTCTATTTTGGAAAATTCCTGCAGATCGTTGCGGAGAAGTTACGCGATAGTGTTCTTCCTTTTGTCTCTGGTAAAGCTAATCAGCACAAGGCCAATAGGAAAGCTTGTCTAACGGATTTGCAAACAATTCACAATAATCTGAATAATGCGGTAGACATGATGTTCAAGTCACAGCGTTCATATGGGTGTGTTTCTAACTTCAAACGAAACTGACGGCTTTGCTTTTTTCAAGAAAGTCTTTCAAAGAAGCCGAGGCAGCATATGCTAAGTACTGTAAAGCTGAGAAAAATATGGAAATCTCAAGATTGGATCTCGAAAAGGCAAAAAGTAACGCTCATGTATGTTATCAAGATTTCGAATATTTTTGATCCTTTTTTTTTAGATGAGAAATCAGATGAGTGAAGATGCTAAACAAAATTATGCTCATGCTATGCAAAATGCAAACAATGCTCTTCAGAATCACTACAATCAGTTTTTACCGGACACTTTGGATAGATTAAAAGTCAGAAGTTTTTTTCCTCCTTAATATTCAACCCGTTTTTTCAGACAGTTGATATGGAAAGAATCCAAGATACTAAATCTGCTTTGCAGCAGTGCATATCTGCTGAGGCTGATGTCATGTCCATAATTAGTAGGAGACCACTTTAAAAATACTTTAGTTATATTTCTTTGAGGTCGTTGTCATGAAGATATGCGGAAATCAGTAGATCAAATTGATAGAGACAAAGACACAGCCACTGTTATCGAGCAGTTCAAGTAATTGTTTTTCAAAGAGTTGTCGATCAAGAGCTGTTTTTTTCAGAACAGGATATATACATCCTGCCCCATATCAGTTTGAAGATCTAGGTCCTACCGATGGATGCATCAATAGCGCAGGAGGTTTCTTTTGTGTTTTTCTTCTCTCAACTCCAGTAATTCAGAAATAGATTCGACATTGAAACGTAACATGCTGAGTGGAGGGAAAAAAGAGGTTAAAGTTAACAGAAAGCAATCTATGCATCAGAAAATATTTGGTGGGGGAGATAAGACGAAGGTATTCGTATGAATTTTTTCAATTTCTTATGAACGCTGTAGGCTGATGCAAATGGCGACTATGGACAATTACCTCCACAGCAAAGAATCAGAAGGCTTCAAACAAAAATTTCAGAATTAGAGAAAGAGAAAGAGAAGAATCAACAAAGTCGAGACGGTTTAGTTAAATTGCAACAGGTATGATATTGATTTATCACAGTAAATCATTCGTTTTGTCAGGTTTATCGAGATAACCCTAAGTTAGGTAATCATGCTGATTGTGACGCTCAGCTTAGCGACTTTGGCAAAGAAATAAATAATTTATCACAACAAATAGAAAAGTTCCGTATTTTGTTAGATGATGCTCAATCACAGAATAATCTCCCAATCGGTTTGCTTTCTCAATTGTTTAGTCGTAATTGTATAGTTACAGGTGGTGCAGAAACTCCACCATCAGCAAGAAGTGGAAGTTCGGCATCCAGCTTTGCCCCACCTCGTCCTCCTCAGCCGGGAAATCGAGCTAGTATGTCTGAAGAAAGTGTTACTAGCAGTGATGGAATAAGCCATACTAGTCAAAAAATGGAGAAGAGAGAAGATGTAAAGAAGACCTCCTAACAAGTTTGACTTGATAAACTTACTCATTCAGACTTATGAAGAATGTGACATGCCTGTGCTAGGCACTGCAGTTGCTCAGTTCGCTTATGACGGTGGAACCGAGGGCACAATGAAAATATTGGAAAATGATGAACTACTGCTCATTGAGAAAGATGAAGGCGATGGATGGACAAGAGTCAGGAAGTAATAACAAGCATTTTAAGTTCAATTATTCTTTTAAATTTTTCAATTTATAGACTGGATGGCCGACAAGAAGGTTTTGTACCCACCAGTTACCTCAAGTGCATGTGGTATCCGTTGTAGACATTTCGCGTTTTCCAGTTCTCGGTGGAACAGTATATTTACTGATATTCAGTTTATCTTCCCATAGGCTTTATTAATTTATGTTAACTACCTTCTTAGTCTTACTAACAACCTGTTCATGTCTCTCAATAATGCTCCAGTTTTTTGATGGGATACATTACTTAATCTGGAATTCTATTCCAATTTTGCTTTTCCTCTACTCGGGTTTCTGTCATCCCTTGCTGATTATATGATATGCTTCCTCAATAATTGTCATTTCAAATTCTATGCTCCTTTTGGCAACAAATTGTACTACTGTGATCGAATTTTATAAGTAATGCCTGGATACATTTGTTTGTGGTTGTTGAAAATATTATTTTATTGTGTTTGAAGAGCATTGGCTCCTATGCGACTCTACTTTCACTGGTTTTATTTTGCTTTCTTCTTTCCGTAATAAACATTACGCATGTTAGCCGTGAAATCCAACCGTTATAGACAAGTTAGGGTGGAATGCAACCGTTCTGGACGGTTTGAGTAGAATGCAGCCTTTCGGTGCGTTTCAAATAAATCCTAGATTTCTCGAGGTCATAACACTGAATTGCGAGTTGATGAATGCTTCCTACTCTCTGGAGGACCTCCAGAGGAGTGAAGCTCAGCGGCTCACACAGCCGACTGAAGCTTCATGAACATTTGACGGCTTATATACCCCGTGAAGACGCGTCACGTAAAAATAATTTTTACGTGAAAAAAAAATTGACCCGGTCGTTCCCTTGTGGTGAAAGTTGTATCACGGCTCAAACTTGATGGAATTGGTTGATTTTTGTGTTTTGTATGTAAAAATTTGATTTTAAATTTAGTTATTAGCTTTTCCTGTTATTCTGAGCACTGACTTTCGTTGAAAATCGTTTAAACCATGTCCAGAAGCCTATCCGCTCAAACATCATAATTGGATTTGAGGTGCTGTTGAATCCCAATCAATCGGAAAGCTCATATTATACAAAATATTAAATCTCTTCTTAATTTTTTGTATCTTTATTGCTTCTAATTATAAACGTCTGACCCAAAGCTAATTAC